ACACACACACACACACACACACACACACACACACACACACACACACACTCAGCTCCTCATTCAACCAACACGTTCACGTCTCTTCCTGCTCTCATTCATCCTCCCTCCTGCTCTGTCGGTCTCCTCTTCCCTCAGGCAGCTTGGAGACAAAAAGCTCTGGCGTGTTATTTTTATTTCACAGAGAGGACTGTTCTTACCCATCAGACAGGAGAGGGGGGGAAGAATTAGCGAGGAAGCCGCTTTACCTCCAGATAACATCAATCCTGGGCGACTGAAGCTTTTAACCATCAAAGCCTCGCTCCCACTGTCTGATGATCACACTGAAGGCAAATATTTCCTCTGTCTTACAGGATAGAAAAGCATTTATGTAAGAAGTTCCTAAGATGATGTTGGTACAAGGCAGTGATAAAAATTCATTCAACACAATGCTACACTTATATACAGAAAAGCCCTGTTAGACTTTTAGAAATCAATAACTAAACCTGCTGCTGTTTTAACGGCAGCAGCAAAGATTAGCGAGAGTTTTATTGTCTTTAAGCTCATTATGAAGAAAAAGGAGGAACACTAATCTTGTTCTTTAACTCTGCCAGAAAACAGTCAGCCGAGCGAACAGATCATATTTCAGGTTTTCACACCGTCTGCTTTGTTTCAGCAGTAAAACATCTGCTCCTGAAAGAAAGCAAGGTGAGTTGATTGATGGCTTCATCGTTTTGTCTGGAGAAATGATGAGCGACAGATTCGCTGTAGGCTTGATAGATAAAGAAAACCAGAACATTTACAAAAACCCAGAGCTGGAAAGTATTAACAGCTCAACAAAAGTGGGCTCAAGAAAAAAATAATTTTTTTTGTCGCTTTAAATCCGACATTTTGCTCCAAACTAAAATCACTGCACAAAATTGCGAAAAGGCAGCAGTGGGGGAAAAAGCCACAACATGTGAATCTAAACCTGGCCGTCTCTACACCTTCCTCCTCCTCCTCTTCCTCCTGGACTATCATCTCTCCATCTGTTCCTGCTTCCACCTTGTCATGGCTGTCTGTTGCCTCTTCTCTCCTGCTCTAACTACATCACAGCTCCTGTTGTCTGCAGGAAACTGACCCATCGTCATGTAGCTCCACCCTCTGCTCTCTGAGGTCTACAGAGGAGCCGAAACAGCTACAACTCATTACAAATCACTTTTAAAACCAACATAGACTCTTGTCAGATTTACCCTTCAGTACACAAAACTAATGTTTTAGTTGAATCTATGAAATATATCAAAAATTGCAAAGTTTGACAAAAAATAGGATTTTTACCTCCAACA